TAAGACTGTATTGGGGCTTTCAGGTATAGGTATGTTCCCCATTATAGTGCACTTGTGTACAAACAATCTGCTGATGCTGGATTTTACTACAGGGTCAGGCAATGTTCAAAGTGCTTGTGCCACAGCTTTCTCTCAAATTCTAAGGCAGAAGTGTCAAACATGCGGTCCACCACACGTGTTGCCAGTGGCACATTTGCTATTTCAGTCTTATTGTCGGTTGTTTACCAGATGACCATTTCATCATGCAGACTTGATTATCTGGCCCACATACTGTATGCCTTAATACATGGCTTCACATTGATATCATCATGCCCTTAGCGCTCACACACACACACACACACACACACACACACACACACACACACACACACACACACACACACACACACACACACACACACACACACTAGGACCACATAGCTAGTGTAGAGCTACCATTTTGAAATGACATAAAGTTTGGCAGCAGTCACATCACTTTGCCAACTACTTTTGACTTTGCTTAGTCCTACCCAGTTGGTCATCATTATCCTGTACACTAATCATCAGTTTGCTTCTAGTCTTCAATATCCAGTGGTTGTGCTGGTGAAGGTTGTTCAACCCAATTAATGAAAAGCTTTTGTGTTAGCATGAGTGAGTATGTGATCTCCCTAAAAATAGGATGTTGATATGAAAGGTGAATGTTCAAATAACATTCCTGCATTAATACAGACTCAATTAAATTACCACACTGAATTTAATATAGATGATTTAGACATGTATGCATAGGTGAATCATGACTTGACAAATTTCCGTACAAGCTCTAGGTTTCCAAGCTCAAAAATGTTCAGCATAATCCACAATTTCTTTTAATCTTAATCCATTTACTATGGTGAAGAATTTCATAGCCATTCTCATATGTGTGTCTTAAGTAGTTAAACAAATGAAAGGGTATCCAGAATAGTGTTGCTGATTCCATGCTTGAGGGTAAGACTGCATACAAAGTATGTGGCTTTATTTATGGAAATGTGGAAAAAAAATATATATATTTTTGTTAGTGTACTTTTGCACTGAGAGCAATTGTAATTACTCACAGTTTCCTGATGCAGTGGCTGGAGTGGTAGGAAGGCACAAGGTCCAGCTGGAGGTGAGGATATGACATGATGATGACTGGGCTAGGACTCTCAAGCTCCCCTTAACCATATCCCAAATAAAATACATGAGATCATGTTTTATCATATAAAACAATAAATTGTGTATCTACAGGTAATTATAAGTATCTAGATATGTAAACAGTAAAAAGATGATAAGTTACAAGAAATTAACTGTCATATATAATATTTTGGTGCATGTAGTGGTAACGTAGAAGATGAAGAGAACAGGGATTTATCTTGATATAAAGTGTGCCACAGCACCAGAAGTACTGCTTACTTACAGTCTTTTAATAATAAAAACATAGAAGCAGAAAAAACAACTGTCATAGGTTCAGAAAGACCAGGGCTGATGAAGAACAGATGTGTTAAAGTACACTGTGTGTGTTTCATTCAAAACAAAAATATTGTTGGAAAGTCACACCAGTTTTTGACAGGATCTCTCTCTGTCTCTCTCTCTCTCCCCCCTCCTCTCCTCTCCCTCTTTCTCCCATCTCCCTATCTCTTCCTCTTCCTCTCTTTTTGGTCATTCATTATTCCTCAAGTGCTAAAGAAAAAACTCAAGTGTTAGAAGTCGTGTGCAAATTTATGCTTTGTGATGTGCACCTTCTCTGAGAGTGTGGAATGCATGTTTTTTTCTTATTATTGAAGCACTTGTTACTTCCTTTCATATTTGTTTTCTGCCCTGTGTTTATATCTTTTTATAACATATTTTCTCCTGAAGGAACAGGTAAACACATTAAACCATCTAGATTGATACTATTATATTAAGGGGATTGTCTGCTTTAAAAAAAAATTCCTTTGCCAATTTTGATGAGAACCACAACCTTTTATCACACAAGAGTGACCGTCTTGCAAGTTACTTGCAATAGTGGTGAGAGCTCGAATCCCTTTCAGAGAGTTTATATATTCATCATATCAATGCATTAGTGCATTATTCCATCTTTCATAAATAAGTATACTTTCGAAATAACGTTAGTTGACATTTTTCATATCTTTTCATGATTATTTTGGTATTAACAATAAAAGGTGGAAGAATAATCTTCATATAAATAATCTTCATATCCCCTATTATCTAACTTCATTCCGAAGTCTTTCGGAAATTCCCAGCTTGTAACAATGTCACAGCGAGTTACTTATCTTACGGTGGGGTCCCACTGCCTTGGGACATAATTCGACCATTTTAGAAAATTCCACAAAAAGGGGAAAAAAAAAAAATACAGGCATCCTAATCTAATCTTTCATCTATTGTATGACAGAAGCACACTTTTTTTTATTTTGACCTTTTTTTTTGGTGTGTGTGAATATTTTAGTTAGAAAGTTTTGAAGCACCATAAAAGGGGCTTTTTATATATATATGTCACTTGTAGACC